CTGTAGAGGCAACCACTTCTTATTTCTCTTATATGTATTTTTGACCTGCTGCTCAAAGAGATAACGTACCTCAGTGATAGTCTACAGGGTGCAGGAGCTGAATGGCCAGTTGGTTCCTATGTTACCCCCAATCTTCCCTATCTTTCCTTTACTCGGATTTTGGTAGAGATCTCTCCCTTACTCAGATTTGAAACTCAATATAGAGGGACCAGTCTACTTACATTATCATTACTTGCATTTAATTTCCTTACAAAGCTTTTTACTTAAAACTCTAAAGATTACACTAAAGATAGTACTTTGATTCCTCCCCACTCCACTTCAAAATAAGAATTAAAACAGAAAAAGACTCAATGTCTCAAAGCTCCTACATTAAAAAGCCACCACTGTGGATCTGGCAAGGTATACTTGGCCCTGCTGGAGGGGAAAATGATTACTGAACATTGGAGTCAAGGAACAACTTCATGATACTTTGATACTTAAGAGGAGATCAAAAAAAGCTAAAAAGAAAAACATTACTATTCCTCTTGCAGCTTACATAAACCACTGATTACCCAAGATCAGATCACCAGTAAAGCGGAGTGCAGTCAGCAGCAAGGTTTATAGAGCAAAAGGTAAAACTGGCATTAACAAGAAGCCAATTACCTCCTTATTCAGATTCTTACCAGCACACTGAGAGAACAGTGTTCAGCACATATTGGAATATCAGACTTGTAAGACACCATGTTACCTACCCACACTGTTTGTTCGAGGAGTACACCATTTTAATGTTACAGTTTCTTTAAACGTGCCTTCTCTGCTATTGCCACCTGTATGATTATCACCTGCAATATGAAGTCAGAAAAAGTGTGTCGTAACATGAGCAGTCATATTTTAGTACAGAAAAAAACTCTAAAATTTTAAGGTACAAAATATTCATAACATAAGCATACACAAAACGTAACCTAATTTTAAAAAGTTACTAAGCAAAAAAGAAATCCTTATTAGCAGTGGCAGTTGAAAAAAGAACTTTCTAGAAATCAGAAGTTGTTGTACATATTTTAAAAAACGATTCAGCAAACAAAATACTGCAGCTCTAGAGTATGTTCCTTAGGTTTAATTCAACATTTAGAGAATTATAGGTTTGTTTGATCTCTAACAGGCAATTTTCTTCTTTTAAAATGCCTAGGACTTTAAGACAGTTCCACACAGAAATCAGAACCCTTAACAAATGTTAGAGCTGATGGTTTCTTGTACATATCGCATCCCAAAGTCAAAACTGAAACTGATCTAAAGGCACGTTTGTCAAGTTGGGCTTTTTGGGGAAAAGCATTTGTCTCATCATCCAGTATCTTTGCTATGTCAGGTTCAATGTGAACATCTCTCGACTGTTTTACTGGCAATAGATGTTTTATCATCAAAATGCTTTCATACAATGTCTCACTGATAACTGGTGTGGCAAAAAACAGCTGAGGGCATTAAAACAGACATCATCAATACTCCTTAGTACATTAAACTACATTTCTACTAGTGAGTTTTGCGATTTTCATGGTCTTTAACACACATTAGGAAAGAATTAACTGAGTTTTGCATGAAGTTTCAGAATTACAGTACCAGAGTCACTTAATATGCTCGAATCCACAATTAAGAGGAATTAGACACATATATCAACATGCAACTCTACGTAATTGGTCTAATCTTTCATGTAAGAAGTTTTCTTCTATTTCATATCAAAGACATACAAATGAATTGATTTGCTTATTAATCATGCAGGTAACTTGCAAAAGCTGATTTTTTTTTTTTCGGCTAAATAACTGGAAGCATTTTAGAAAGTCCCTTTCAGAATGTCTAAAGGCCAAACTTACATAATCTAAAAATTCTCCAGCAACGTTTCACAGAAATAAGATCAAGGTAACTGAACTCTCACTTTCCTAGCACCAGAGCTATTATAGCTGAAAGATTTTTTTAAAAACAAATGAAAGAAACCAAAATTTACAGGATCCAAGAACTGACTTTTTCCTCTCAAAGTTCTGATGGAAAAAATTTGAAGAGGCATTGCAGTCAGAGTTTGCTTTTGGCTCTTACTAGCAGACTTATTCCTTGCGCCAATAGGTATTACAAGAGTAATTACAGCAAAGCTTTATGTTTTCGACATGGTAACACAAGTTCAGGTGAGTGAGTTCCTTATTGTAACATCCTATTCTTTTCCTCAGCCTTTCATCATACATTCCACTAAAATATGGAGCACAGTGCTTGTAGATAATAATGTGGAGTTACCTCCTTTTCCCTCAAAGCAACAGTAATTATCTTAAAAGAGCACAAACTCCCTAAAATGGCTACTTCGGGATCATATCATTTAAAACTTCGGAACAAGAATATCCACTCTTCAATAACTCATTGTTAAATTCTTCACTTCTTAAAAGTTAAACCACATTAACTTTCTAATGCACTTTAAAAGTATATCATATAGTTTTGGATAGTAAAAAAGTAAAATCTACAGCCTAAATCTAAACACATGTACTCTACACACACAGTAAATCAGACTAAGCTTTTAAAGGTACTGCATCATACAACAGAAGTTACAACTAATGCAGTAAGAGCAAACAAAGTGTATACAAGCCTTGAACAGCTTCACATGAGACTTCGGCACTGAAAAGGAGTACAGTTCAAGTATGCTACAACACGTTGGCACAGACTGAAGGTTTTTTCACTGCTTAGCTTCGCTTTTAACTCTACTAATATAGAATTTTTAGCCTGACTTGTTAACAAAATTTTACATCAAACGCTGTTTCCTGAACGAAATAGTTTTCTATAAAGCTTACTGTTGCGTTTTTCTAACCTCAGTTAAGTAGAGTTATTAACAATTCACCTCAGAGGAACAGTTGGCTATAATTCTAAACTTACAAAAAGGATACTAGGTGTTTCAAATACATGAAAGCTCAAAAGCCAAATAACTACTGTCTTTTCCAAAGCAATTACTGTCCTAAACAGGCCTATGGGATGTAAGTGATGTCAATTATTATTACTTAACAGACAAAAAAAATTAAAAGCTCAATTGTACTAAGAATAGTTTTCCACAAATACCCACAAGAGGTACTTTCTTTTGTAAAAATCACTGCATACCTGGTCTTTCATCTACTTTTTGCATCTCAGTAAGAAGTAGACATGCCCCTCAAATCTCACACAAATATCCTGAACATCTGTGAAACCTTGTCTGATGAATTTGACCTGCTTTTTACTGTTATATCCTTATTACTATATTAAAATATGCCAGTAGCAATTACAACTCCAAAGCCAACATTACAAATCAAGTTCTTGGGTTATAAGGAATAACTGGAAATATGCTAATCATGCCTGAAATTTACATCAGTTTGAGGCTCACAGTCTTCCTTTGTGAATGCTTCCAGAAGGCTGCTTAAAAGCCACTTTTGAAGGACTATTTCTACTTACCACTCTTTAAAAAGTCAACGTGTGCCTCTTTGTGATGAAGAAGTTCCACATCATAGTTAGCTGATGTGTTAGCATGTTGTTCTTCCTTTAAAAGACAAAAGTGGAAAGAATAAATATCATTATCTTAGCTAGAAGCCACTGGTTTTATAAATGAATGATCTACATTTACCTTTCACCCCAGAAGAAAACAAAAAGTCTCCAAAGTGCATCAGACAACAACAGGATTGCAATGTTGAGGAAACTGTTTGATCTCTGACCCCTTTAAAGATGCAGCCATCTGCTTTTCCTCTTTTTCCCTTTTTTGAAACCCTATGGTTTCCTCTTTATACACGTCATGACAGTGTGCATAGTGTAAAATACAGGTTAAAAAATAGTCTTAACTACTTTTGTTCAAATTAGTGAAGTTAAGGAAGCCTATGACATATTTAATACCACCAGCAGTTACAACTTAGAGAGCAAGAGCAAATGGCCACTGCAGAACAGATCGGCAATTACTCTTTTCATAACTAAAAATCTCAAGAATCCAAACCAAAAAACCACACCTAGAACTTATTGCCATTTTCTCGCGCTTAAGATACACAAAAAGCGTACTTGCAGCTGCAAGTTTATATTTAAAAAAATGGATGTTTGTAAAGAGGACACTGCATCTTTAAACAGCTGCAGAGGACTAGCAAAAACAGAACAGTAACCTTGGTAATTTATTCCAAATTTAAAAAAAAAAAGGAAAAAAACACAGAGAACCCAACATAGTCTATCACTATAAGGACAAAGGCAGAAGGGAGAGGCATACTAGCAGCACACAGGTCAGAAAGTTACAGACAAGGTATTTGCAAACTTAAATCACATTTATGCCACGACCCATGTCAAAGTTTTAATGAAACTGTGACAATAATTTTCAATTTTGTGCTTTAACTTATAAAATCCAGACAATATTGCTAGCTTTCAAAGATGCAAGTAACGACTGACAGTATTAGAACTTGATGAATTTTTCTTTAATCAGGAAAGTTTATCTGCCCCCGCCCTTTTTGTTTATTTCAATACTGACGCTTGTTCCAATTGTCTCTTGCTGCCTGATCAGAAAACTAATGTAAACTTTATAATACTTGAAATTCTTAGTTGCACTAATTTCCCCTCCCAGTAGCAATTAAAAAAATATTAAAAAAATAGGGACACAAACAACTTTGAACAGATTATGTTTAATTTAATCTTTCTTAACTAGATACATCCCCTGTCCCCGTGTTTCTGGTCCATGGATCTTCAAACTGGAAAACCTACCAGAAAAACCATTAGTCAAACATCAGCTATTAGTTACAAACACCTTTATGTTGGGTGGGCATGATAATGAAACAGAGGAAAAAGACTCACTATGCCACTATAATGCACAAGGATCAAGAATATCTAAACACGACTAGAAAAAGACAAAAGAATCACAGACAAAGTAATCTGAGGTAAGTAAGACTGCATTTATATAAAATAATACAAACAATTGAAATAACATTTGTATTGCTACATCAAAAATTGAGATTCAGCAATACAACATTTTGTTCTGTGATCCTTCTTTACTTTTTTTTCCTTTTATTTTTACTAACCTGGTCACAGACATTGAATGTGGGCTAATAAAAAAACAAAACAGAAAATATGATATGGAGAGAAAAAACAATGTAAAAATTCAATTAAAATAAACATTTAAAGTTTCAAACAAATTTAGAAGTGATGCAAGCTAGTTAACACAAAGCTCTAGACACAATATTACCTTCATAGGAATGTTAGTTATTGTGGTTGAAGCCAGATCAAAGTGCTGTTGTACTAAAACATTCAGTTTTGTAGCCAGATGTCTGCCCGCACGGACACTGTGCACTTCACTGGTTAAAACAGGGGAAAGCTAAAATAAATTGACACAGGGTATACAGTATTAATGGACTAGGCTCTAGTATCATGTAACAATATTATTTATCTGAAACTAAAATAAGCACATTTATACTGCTAAATTTGACTGGGGAGAAAAACCACTACCCAGAAAACCCACACCAAAGAAAACTTACTTTTAGAAGCAAAAATTATTTATTGTTCAGAACCTTGCCTGCTATAGTTATATTGTTATAGTTGCAGTTGCTACAAATTGTCAAAAAATTAGAAATGTGCTAAAAAACTCGAGCCATTAATCGTTAATAGGAAGAATTAGTATCACAATACGGGGAAGAAATCCTCTTAATAGTAGCTCTGGGCCTAGTCTTTCGTCTTTTACCTGTTGAGTAACAGGAACAAAGTCATTTTTATATAGCTACCTGTAAGTGTGTCACATATACACAAGGGAAACAAACACAAGCCGTAAGTTGCATTTGACTCTTTGCGTGCCAACAAGTTAAGTTTTAGTTTTTATAAAAAAAAATAAAAACACCACAGTGATAAAGTTGACTGTCCTACAGAGGAAAGCAGTAGTAAACTTACTCGCTTCTGTTCACCTTCTGAGTTTATTTTTGCACAACTACAAAAGAGTTTTCTACAAAAGAATCCCAGGAAGGTAGCCATTATAGTCATTTTTATTTGAGAAATAAGATGCAGGACTAGATGCTTTTCGTGCATTAAGAATAAGATTTTTTTTTCTTATGTCTTTTCTCCTTCTTACAGACAGGACATTAAAATACTGCGCAGCGCAGGCTGATGAAAAGCAGAATATATGACTTTGCATGTTCTTGATTTCAAACCATCACCATTAAGCACAAAAGTCCATAGAGTTTACGTGCTTTTGTTACCACACTACTGAGATGTTAATATGCACTACAATTTCTTATACGCTACCTTTCACCTTTTTGAAAAACAATCTTTAAAAATACTGGCAGGGTACTTAAAAGTATTTGATGACCTTCAAACATATTTTATGTTCCCACAATATGTTCCCCTTTCATTTGGAAGCAGATATGGTTTCCAATGATTTTCATTAAAACGACATTCTGTTTGCAAACACTGGAACAACAGAACAAAAGCTCCTTTTGGTTTCTTGAGAAAATCATTCAACCAAAAGGCTAAAAATGCTAACGTGTTAGTCTGGATAACATGGAACACACAGTGCAAAACAACACATCTATTACATCATTCAGTAATGGATATTTGGAAAAACAGGGCTTGTGCTAGATAATGGCACACGCTTGAATAGCAGGAAAGTTACTCAGCTAACCTCTTCAACACAGTAAGTAGCTGATGGTTTTCCATTAGGTTTCTAAACATGCATTGTCTTCTCAAAAAAAACAAACCAAACACTGTGTCATTTTATGTCATTAATGGCCTTACTTCATATAGAAATGAATCAGGAATTATTACTGAAAGACATTTAAGTAATGAAATAAAAAAAGAGGATACCATATATGCATGAAGACTACAAAGCAAGAATACAAAGCACACACTTTAGATGGCAATGTGCAGGCTATCAGCTTTTCCAAGCATTATCACCTCTACTTTTTCCTACACCTTACCCAAAACATTATTGCTGAATACTTAGTTTTGAGTCTGACATGGTTCCTAATCCTTAGACAGATTTTCTCATTTTAAGCTCCTTACCTCTTTTTTAGGGCGATCTGAAACAAGGCTGTCTTCACCAACTGGGTAAGTGTGGATTAAGACCAACTCACATTTCTGAATCTGCATTAGACTTAAAAATAAAAACATTCTATTTAGCCTACAGTGTGGCAGACCATCGCCTAGAAATAACACCAATTCTCCCAACATTAATCTGATTTCCAGAACCATAAAGATGGATTACAACACACTGTTTCTGAAAGCATTCTGTAGAAACTAGGTTACATTAATGATTTTCAAAAGCACATACTTAAAAACAAGTTTTTATCATAACAAAAAAAAAACATTTAGCATTTCTAGCTCTTCAGATGCTTCTTTTTGGACAGACCAGTGGAATAACGGGTGTAATCCGTTCAGTTTCATTCAACTGACAGAATCACAGAATGTTAGGGATTGGAAGGGACCTCAAAGGATTATCTAGTCCAATCCCCCTGCCTGAGCAGGACCACCTAGAACAGATCACACAAGAACACGTCCAGGCGAGTTTTGAACATCTTCAGAGAAGGAGACTCCAAAGCCTCTCTGGGCAGCCTGTTCCAGTGTTCACTTCCCATACTGGGAAGAAGTTCTTCCTCATGTTTAAGCAGAACCTCCTATGTTCCAGCTTACATCCATTTTCCCTTGTCCTATCATTGGATGTCACTGAGAAGAGCCTGGCTCCATCCTCATGACAGTCACCCATTACGTATTTATAAACATGAATGAGGTCCCCCCTCAGTCTCCTCTTCTCCAAGCTAAAGAGACCCAGCTCCCTCAGCCTTTCTTCATAAGGGAGATGCTCCACTCACTCCATCATCTTTTTGTCCCTGTGCTGGACTCTCTCAAGCAGCTCCTTGTCCTTCTTGAACTGAGGGGCCCAGAACTGGACACAATATTCCAGATGCAGTCTCACCAGGGCAGAGTAGAGGAGGCGGAGAACCTCTCTCGACCTACTAACCACACCCCTTCTAATACACCCCAGGATGCCATTGGCCTTCTTGGCCACCAGGGCACATTGCTGGCTCATGGTCATCCTGCTGTCCACCAGGATGACCCCAGGTCCCTTTCCTCTGTGCTGCTCCCGAACAGTTCAGTCCCCAACTTGTACTGGTACATGGGGTTGTTCTAGCCCAGATGCAAGACTCTACACTTGCCCTTGTTGTATTTCATTAAATTTCTCCCTGCCCAACTCTCCAGCCTGTCCAGGTCTCTCTGAATGGCAGCACAGCCTTCAGGTGTATCAGCCACTCCTCCCAGTTTAGTGTCATCAGCAAACTTGCTGACCATGCACTCTATTCCCTCATCCAAGTCATTGATGAATATGTTGAACAATACTGGTCCCAGTACTGACCCTTGAGGGACTCCACTGGATACAGGCCTCCAACTGGACTCTGTCCCATTGACCACTACTCTCTGGCTTCTATCCTTCACCCAGTTCACAATCCACCTCACTACCCAATCATCCAGACCACACTTCCACAGAGGATTTGTGTCTCCAAGTGTGCGTGCAGGTATTAATAAAGGGGATTCCACTGAACATGAAAGCAACCACTCAAATAACATGCTCATCTCCTAATGTGCTCGAAATTTTGAGAGATCAAGACATGGTTCCACATCTCTACCTATAGGAAGGTATGAGACCACTTTTCTGTCTTCACAGTGGACTTAGAACCTGACTCCCTGGGGCAGCACCCTTTATATTATGTATGAAACTGCAATTGCAGCAGGTAAACACAAGAGACTCCTGCTTCTGCTATTTAAGTGCCTAAGGAGCAACCAAGAGTAAGACCTCAACCCACTACACGCTTCACAAGGCAATACATGGTCTCTGGGCCAAACAGTTCACTGTTTAATTAGACAAAACATATGGTGGAAAAATGACTTCTCAAAGGAGATGCAACATGCATTTCAAGACACTCCTTTATCTCAAGTGTGAGGCAACACAATTTAGAAATTAAAAACTAATTTCAAGGAAGTCAGTTATTTTAGCCAAAGGAAGACTAATGTAAAATTAATGGTGTTACCAAGAAAAAATGCAGATGCATTACTGACTACAAATATACAGTATACAACAAGGCACAGCCACGTGTCTCATTTTGGAGCAAGACGTAGAAGACAGCAACCTAAAGAAATATTGTCCTGAGAATAAGGGATGATCCTGAAAAGCTAATGATCCTACACCAGCGATAAGTCAACAATATCATGATTTAGCACCTTCTATTTCACACAGGCATTCATTTGAACATTTCATCAAAATAAGTTTTACATCACAAAAATACAACCGTATTTCTTAAGAGGACATAACAGGCACACACAGAGTAAAAGAAACTACATTTTAAAAAGTATACTCACTGATCTGAATTAGCTGCAAGCTTGTTATGCTCATGAATGGTTTCTTGCACACAGTCCTCAAGCATCCGAACGTGACTGTCACTACAAAGAAATTTCATTTTTATTTTTTTTTAACGCAGGATAATCAATCCTCCTGTTCAAAGCAACATGCCACTAAATGCTCTCCTATTTCAAGTGGGAAATTTTTGGTTTGTTACTGTAAGACCTCCATAAGTGAAACCTTTAATAAGGCAAGAAACGATCTAACAAAGAAAGTAAAAAGCTAGCTACTTAGGGTACTAATTCATGACAATCTGCAAAATGCTTCTAAAAAGGTATGAAATAACATTTTTTTTTAATGGTGGATGCACATTATCATATGTACCTTTTTGCATTAGTAATACAGATAATTCTTCCTCTGTTTCCGACCCGTTCTGCGTTCTCCATGAGCATGGTCCGAGCCTCATGCTGGTATTCTGTTATTTTGCAGAGTGCCTCAACTGCTGCAACCAGACCATGAAGTATGCTGCAGCACTCCGGATCTGCCCGCGGATTAGGTGGCCCAACAGCTGCTAATGCTGCCATCAACTAATTAAATAGGAATAAATAATTTATTCAATAAATAATTATTGAAAGTTACTTTCCAGCCGTCTGTTTAAATGATTAGCTAATAGAAAAGTTATCATTAAAACTTATTTTACATGCAAATTAATATTGTTGGGAGAAAACCAAACAGAGTAATTAAAGACCATTATACATTCCCAGCCTCCTGGGTAACATTTGGTCCTAAATTATCCTTTGCCATTTATTTGTTACTAAGCTTTGAGAATATAATACTCTCATTTATTTCAGAAAAATACCTGGCTATAACAGCAAGTTATGTCCAATACCTGAAAGGAATTCTAACATTATCAGTTGCCATCTGCTCTTATTTTCTGAGAATTTGGAAATTCAGTTCCTCCCCAAAGTAAGTTTTTCAGAGGATGAGTCCATTCAGTATGAAACAAAACAAGAGCAATGAGAATATTTACCTTTTTTTTAACATAGTTTATTTGCTAATCATTCAAACCCCCAAAAAATATTCAAGTACCACCACCAAATTACAGAAGAAATACATAGGTAATTTCTTCATAACATTTATTTCAATATGTAACTCTATATGAAAGCTACTGGGTTCTTTTTAAATTATAGAAAGCTGCCTATAGAATAGTCCAGCCTCACAGGCTACTACTTTAAATTATGTTACATAATACTTTCAGATCAGGTCCACCAACATTTTAATTAACCAAAGTTATTTCACACTGAACGTAACAAGAAGCTGCTGTTTATTCCGCAATTAAACTAGACAAAACAAATTAACAGTTACAAAGCATACCTCCTGCAAGTTCTGATCTTCCTGAGTCCAAGAATTCAAGACATGAGCCCCAGAATCACTCACAATGAAATTCACCTAAAAGGATCAAAAAAGCAGACGTAAGATAACAACACAGATCCCAGTCATTATGGCTACTTCCCCAAATCCAAACGAACAGGAATTACACCTCTTTCTTCTGATACTCTGGAGATATGTGCAACAACACGCCAAACTGAAAATAACACAACACAAAATAACACCACCACAAAAAGCATCCACTCCTGTCATATTCAGTTACCCCTTTAGTAACATTATGATTAACAGCTTCTTACTCTGACCATTTATATTTTTAAACCACTAAATCAATCTCTACACCAAATTCGCGTTGCGGGATACCATGAAGTATTTTAATAATCAGGTAACATTTTCAGCAGAATAGCTACAAAACAAAGTAAATTCTAACACTGCAATATCGCAAATCATTCTCCAAAGAGAGGGACAAATATCTAGCAAGATTTAGTAAGCATCACATTGCAAAATACGTTCTAAAGATGACAGAAAAGTCAAGCAGCAGCACACCTTCCATCTCCATTTGAGTTTCTCATACCATCCAAGCCCCAGTTGAGCCAACCAATTCAAACCCATTAACCACACACTGGACATAACCCCCTAAGGAGACCTGAGTGTGCATTAAATGCGCTGGACCAGAGCCTAAATTAAACATGCGTTGTCCAAGAACCACGACACGCGATCCATCAAGGCAATGTGGCTGACTTGCATCAAATCACTGAACTACCAGAGTTTTTTTCAGTGCCTGGCCTCTCCCTCAGCTGCTCCCTGACACAGCCAGTATTCCATCAGCACCACTTTGTACCAGTATCACTGTCACAAGGTTGTTTAACTTCCATGGATTTCTAAGCGTAACTAGCCTTTACGACCTTGCAGAACAGTCTACTCAATGAGAAAAGAGCTAAAAAAACAGGGATTAGTTACTTTAATTTATGATACAATGCCACAGAACCCACCAAGCATTTGTTTTTCTAAACAAGTAGCTGTGTGCTAGGAAGCTCTCCCACTTCCTCAAACTGGCAGCTTCAGGAAGACCCTACCTCTCCCTAAAGCCAGAATTCCTTCAAAGTTGGCACAAAAAACCTTAAGAAGTGCCACCAAGTGTGTTTGGAAACAAAATTCAACTTGAAGCAATACCTCAACTCACACTTTTGTAAACTTGCAGCTCAGGTGAGTACAACAATAAATATGTAAGTTACCTTACAGCACCTCTCCTCATGTTTTGAGTTACAAAATAACATTAAGACAAGGAAAGGACTCAAAAGCGAATATGCAATGGCATTCATACACTGCTCAAAACAATTTAAATAGCTATAAAGCTTACCAATAGCACAAAGACATTTTTATGCAATAAATTATATTTGATCTTTCAATCTAACAGCTAATGATATTAAAAGACTTCATTAAAATGGGAAAATATCTCTTATACTATCGAGTATCATATGCAGTATGGCTAGAACTTACCAGTTTCTTGAAAGGAAAAATATCATACATTATTCTACAGTATTCCATGGATGATTCCACTGAACAGGTCCATAGTGATTTTGATATGGGTGCTAGAGGTATAATTCCTTGGGTCCGATTCTTTACTAACATATCGAATTCCACGTGTTGTCTGCAGGACTCTGCCATATACGGGCAGTGATCCACAACAAAAACAGTTTTATGAGACTCAGAAAAGATTTTCATTTTCTTCCTAAAAGAAACACGTACTAAAGTTAGAAAGAAATTGTACAAGGCAAAAAAACCCACATCACAAGGTTACTGTGCAATTTATATAGTGTCATATCATCTCACTAGAGCACGCGACCTTTAAAGAGGTTACCTCTCACAGTATTTAGATTACATATTGCATATATTAGCTCCTCGAAACTGTTAAGCTTCTAAAAAAACCTACAAAAATTCCCGTTTTATGAATCTATTTACATGGAGACAAATATCCTCTAGAACTCTTATTAGGCCATATATTTAGTATTCTAGATTTGTAATCAGAAGAAACTATTTTTTTCCCAGAAGGAAAAAAAAATAAAAAACGTGAATGCATACTGCTGAAAAGGCAATAATGACACACAGAATTGCTCTCCTCACTTTTCTTATTAAAAGAAACTTTCAAGAAAAAAAAACCTACAGAAACTGCTTCCTATCCAAAGCTTCTTTCCTAACATAAGGAACATGGAAAGAAAAACTTTATGATTAAACTATACAGATCTCGAAGCAGCGTAAACATCAGAATTTTAAGTATATTTTCAGCCTTCAATTTGGTAGGCGTATGTTTCTATTTTTAAACGAATATTTGCGTCTGAACCTTGATCTCTCACTGACAGACATACCAAATTTGAAACTATAACATAAGCGTTTCTTATCTAACAAGACTCATAGGAGCATCCCTCCTGTTCTTCCCGACTGCAAAGCCTTAGAACCCTGCGACGAAGCGTGGTGCACTTTCCTGTCTCACATCGACAGACTGGGCTTCCCTCTCCCGCAGCATCACTGAAAGAAGTGTTTTTGAAGCAACTATACCGGCTGATCCTCGCGTTAGGGTGAACATCGCAACGAAAATTCCTCTTGGACCAATTCTACTTAGATGACTCAACTCGGACCAAACGGCTCCTCTCGCACCAAACTTACTCAACTTCTGGATGTTTCCGTAACGTTTCTAGTACAAAAATCTATTTTGTCCGCACAAACGCTGCTCGATTACAGAGCACGCAGAACCAAAACACGCACACCAGGCCGTTTGAAAAGCTAAAATACGGAAGCACGGAGCATTTCCAGGAGGCAGGTTTCGCACCCGCCCTCAGCAGCAG